GTTTTTATGTAGGCGGTAAATTAATACGTGGCCCGCGACATCCTTGCGCGTCCCTTGAATCGTAAAATTTAACAATCCACTTAACCAGAGCAAGCTTTTAATGAAATCAATTCTTGTAAGGAAATAGTTCTATCAGGAGAGGGGGGGGGGACAATAAATTAATCCACGTTTAATCTCGGTCCGACCGCACTTCTCGGATTACTCTTTAGAACGCCGGCTGAAGTTTCACGATCCACTTAGGCCCGTAACAAGCCCGTAACAAGCTCGTAATAGAAAAAAATTAATTCAACTAAATTGCACGGCCGTCTCGTTCGGGAGAGCGGCTCGAGAGAGGGGCGGATATGAAACGTGATCCGTCAAAAAACCAGATTGACTGACGCATTACGTTAGATAGTCGTACGAAGAGAAAAACGCGCGGCTTCATTCAACTTCACGTTCGTAAACATGACTGTTAAATTTGTAAATAATATTATGCTTCTGTATCGTGACACACGCCGAGTGAAATTTGCTTTAAAAATTATCAATTTGTATCACTTCACTCGACAAATGAGATTTGTCGACAGATAAAATTTGCAGCAAAGGCAATAAATCAGAGACGATCTTTATTTTCATATCAATTCGTATATATCGCCAACGCGCCTATCGCGCTTACCTGCCAACGTGAAAATGCCATTTCCACGTTGAAGCGTAGAACATTTTATTCCGATAGAATTTCTCCCCTTGACAGATTCTGTCTAGCGCGCATCGAAGCGAGCCGGCTTAATCTTACCGCTAGGAGTCGCGGTGGGGAGGATATCATTTTGATAAACCACCACCTGGCAATGTCGCTCGCTTTTCATGAAGAAACCCGAAAGCGAACGCAGCGTTTTCTGTTCGAGAGGACGACGGCGACGACGACGTGGCCCCCGGCGCCTTGTTACTTCGCTCAATTTCTATTTCCCTACATCGAGTTTCCCTCCCCCCTCCCCTCTCCTCCCCCTGCTGCGTTTTACCAGCGCTTTACCCGCCTCTTCCTCCATAACCACGGCTGGCTCGAATAAACAGCACCGTCTTCGCGAGCACGAAACAACCTATCCGTTTTATCGAGGCAAATATGCTCAGGATCCGTACGCACGAATGCCATTTTCCGCTCGCTTCTCCTCCTTTCTTCTCCTTCTCCTCCTCCTCCTCCTCCTCCTCCTCCTCCTCCTCCTCCTTCTCCTCCTCCTGGATTACTCGTTCTCGTCGCCCTCGGTATAGGGAAAACATAAATCCATGGATGGCCCGCGAAAGCACCATAAACATCTTTACATCTTTATCTTTATTCGATCCAAGTTGTGCTCCGTCACAGAAAGAAAAAACAAACTTAAAATCAACATATGCTCTAATCATGTTGATTATAATAATTATATAATAATTAATTATAATAATTAATTAATTATATAATATATAAATATATAATATATAAATATATAATATAAAATTATATAATATATAAATATATAATATATAAATATTAATTATATAATTATATAATAATTTATTATAATAATAAAATAAAAAAATTTGTCTTCCTGTGTTAAACATAATTCACAGAATTTTAGAAGTCTACAAAATATTTGTCATGTGTCGATCAATTAAGATTTTTTTTTACTCGAAAACATGAGATTTATCACGTCAGAGAACTAATAATAAAGATCACATCGATGGTTATCGATATGATGCCGAATTTCCAGTAGCAACGCGAATAGTTTCGTCAGAACAGCTCCGAACTTTTTGTTGTTCGGAGTAACTTCGAAAAAGCGTATCCGTGCCGTGAATCTCCCGTTACGAGATGGCCTGCATAACAGCATAGAGTGTTTCTAGTACACTTTAATAAAATATGTTATATTATACCCGCGTTCGGACGATATTAAAGTTCGCCAATGTTTGCACGTTGCTGGCGCGTCGTAGTATTTACCAGAGAATCCCTTCTCAAAAGAGAGAGAGAGAGAGAGAGAGAGAGAGACAGCCGGCAAGGTTTATTTAATAACACGACGTAGAGCAGTGTCCAGGGGGAAAAAAAGGTCGCGGGAGAAAATGCCGTTTCGAAGTAACGTTTCTGATAGAAGCTGATTCAGCTTCGGGATGGAATCAAAAAGAAACTACCGAGGTAGGTTGCCGCTCAAAGATACCCGAGATCCTCGAGAAAGTTCGTGAAAGGCACAAGCCCGTAGACTTTTGTAATTTGAGGAAACGAAGGATACAGGCGCTTACGAGTCCGATTGTTCGAAAGCGGAAGCTTTCATCACGTTTTTATTCCGTGCGCTAATCCATTCGCTTCCAGCACTTCACCTTCATCGAAGGTGTATAGCGGATACACTCCCGATATACAATTTCTGTTTGAATAAAAAAACGTGGATTCATTTTCTGTATTATGATAAAAATTCTAAAATTCAAAGAATTTTTAATTAAAGATCTATGGTACTCGCATAACTTTTTATTTTCATTTTTGATAGGAGTTATTTCAAGTTTTGATAAAAGCAGAAAGCTGATATTGAAGGACTTAACGACTCGTTGTCTGAGATGAATATCTTCCGTGATGGCGTGGAGAAAAGTACAAAACTTGGTAGCTTTCCCATTGTGGGAAGCACATTGTCCAGAAGTGGGGAAAAGGAAAGTGATATCTCGGTATTACGAAGCAGATCGACACTCCATTCAAAGGAAAACTTTCAACCGGACGAAGTGCACGAACCGGACTTGGACATTAAAAAAAAAAAGCGTTGATATTTCTACATTTATTACGTTATATTTTTATCATATTAGAACATTTTGAAATTGAATTTTATGTGATTTCATCTTACGATCACGTTTTATTTACATTACTCAGGAAAAAATATTTTAAAAACATAAGAAATGCAAACTATCCTTATTTCAAACGTATCTTATTTTTTGCAACGCAGATAATTTTCATTCTAAAAAGATATAAATAAATGATAAATAAATAAATTTTTCATTCAACTTTTTATCAACTTTTTTAGCTTAAGATTGCATTATCGTGCAAATATTGTATAAGAAAATTCAATAATGTAATTTTTTTTAGCAAGATAAATTTTAAAATTTAAAATAATACATATAGCTCACGAATATTATATATGATATAAATATTATATGATAAAATATTGATAATACTTCTAATTCTTCTCGTATAATTTAAACATTTACTTATCGCATTTATCAATAACGTATTTAATAAAATTCATTTATTCTTTACTTTTACTTTTCATTATCGCGTCCGCAATTTCATCGGTTTTTAATACTGACACCAATAAAGAGAATAAAATTATCCTGAAAAATTCCATTCACGAATCGTTTTGCTAAATTTAATAATGAAGCACCGGTATTCTGCCATGTGCTTCCATTGACTTTAGCTGAAAATGTCGTTCCGCATCAACGTACGAAAGCGCCAACAAACTTTGCCACGTTGTGTAACGCGCGATTACTCTTTGTTACTCCTTTTCGTAACCAACCCATGAAAACTCTCCATGAAAACTCGTTGGAAACAGCCGCCCGACGGCAACCACGAGCACTAGAAGCAGTAGAAGGGAAGTTTTTATCACTCGTCTTGCAAAGGGCCACCCGATAAATTAAATTGCCCTTGGCTCTCAACTACGTGGAATAATCGTCGTAATCGTCCTCTCACCTTTCAAACAGTTTCAGCTCTCGCGATTTGCAGCCACGAATATACGACGATTTCGATAGCGGATACGTAATTCGGATAATATTCATTAAAATAAGGAAAAATTGGGAGAATCGGTACGATGATATAAGATTTATCTGTTTTTTTAAAAAGTTGGAAAGATTAATCTTTTAAATATTGAGAAAGTAAAAAATTGAGATTGAGCTTCGTTTTTTTTTTTTTCAAAAAAAAAAAGCAGTTCGAAAATCGTTGAATATCCCGCAATCCCGGGGAAAATCCGATCTTAAAATTTCACAAGTCCAATAAAAGCCGAGCCACGCTTTTTTTCTCGGACGTCACTGTGGTCGCGTCATGCCGCTCGCTTATCTCGAAATTCGCGATGCGCGATCGATAAAGCTCCCAGTATATAATTTCAACGGCAAGTAGCAGTCCGAAACTGAGCGCAAGTGTAACGCGAAACCGGCCGGTATCGGTGCGATACGAGCCGACAAAGTAAAAAAAAAAACGAAAACGAAAAACGACCTTGCTACTTCAATTTCACGGTACGCACGCAAAAGTGTAATTT